CGTGTTAGAGAGTGGCGAAAGTAACAAGAAGGAAGAGTTTCGGAGAAGGTCTCCATCAATCTTAGTCATCGAGATCGCTAGCGTCATATAATATACAGTCTTCGTTAGTCCTTCTAATTCTCGCCCACTCAGCTGCTCCTTGTGATATTCTTCTTCCTCGCTTTCAGTGTTTCCTTCGTGACTTAAGCTTCATCGCTTTGTTTGAAGGCTCCGAAAGTTGGCGAGTGCATGAAGAATTTAGTGAAAAGCACAAAAATCGGTTGGCTCAGTGAACGTTTTTGCGACTCTAGAATTCCTCCTAGCTTAACGTAACGTCGTTTTCTTGTTCAGCAATCGCGAGGTTGAGTCATCAACTATGTGCGACTATAATCAGCTGTTCTAATCTTCCTCATTGGAAGTCACGTAAAAAGCGGCTATCAAGAACGCGATACTGTCGGAACGTCAGCTACTGGTGTACTGTATTGTGTTTCTCTACGGAAGCAAATGCATGCTGTTTAACAAACTCGCAATTGCTAAACAAGAAAACGACACATTCATATTCCAATGCCGAGGTTAATAGAAAGTCGATCCTGGGAACTGTTATCGTACAGTGCCGAAACCAGGTTATAGTCCAAGATAAAATGCGGTCAATAACTTCGAATACCTATCGAAGTAGAGCCTCACGAATATCTTCTACCAGGCAACTGGAACAGGATATCCGAAATTTCATTCCATAACGAGATCAATGACACTCGTACTCCATGTTGTAAATTTATTGCACCCGTAAATTTATAACACAAAAAGCTGTACTACAACAATCTTTGGGCAAAGATCGTTAATGACTAGCTCGTTCGCTATGTGAAGAGCCCAACACTAAAATCTTAGGCGAGATGAGCATATTTCTAGAAGCCTTCTGTTGAAGTAGATGCGCGTGGATATAACTTCTATAATCACAATAGCACACAGTACCCTGGACTATATTTGGCAAACTAACGATGACTTTACGACTTTTACGAAAAAAAGCGAGCAAAGGAAAGCAACAAACAGAATATTCTAAGTATAGCCACTATTAGAAATACCTGATTCTAGGGTTCACTGGCATAAAGTTAATTTTCAATGGACGTCTTAGAAAAATAGCACTGAAACTGCTGTGAAGGTCAAACTCGTTTCATCCAACGAAATGCACTAATCTATGCACATCTTTGTTGAACAAATAGAATTTTTTTCACAAATAGGGTAGTTATGAAAGATCTCGCCAACATAAAATTTTCTTTCTCCACTGTAGATCCAAACAAATATCTTCCAGAAAATATTAGTCAGCTAGTCGCAACTGTCGTTAGTTTACTGTTGGCCACAAAAAATCTAGATTTCCAAAAAGCTATCGTGTTTGGAATGATTGATTGATTGATTGATTTTAACAAACAAAAACAATTTCGTTATTCGTTAATCGCCAATGGTTGACACAAACGCGACCGTCGCTGATTTCATAGTGGCTAGGAAACGGTAAAACTGGTCCACAATTCCAGCGCGGGAATGTTGTTATCTTCCACATAAAGCAAATTTTCTACATCTGGAAGACTAAATCACTGCAGAACTCCCTGATAAAGGGATTTACTGCTGACTAGTCGGGCACAAATGTGGCGAGCACTTAGGTGGCGGATAGAGGGCTAATCGAGGAGCAAAAACGAACTCATGTTTTGGTGAAAAGCAGATACATTCAGAGCATGAAAACCCTGAATTCGTTGCTCCTATTAGACGCATACTTTCGGTGTTGACGAGGATGAACTCATGTGTTCGTGCGTGGATGTGTTCTCGTTTATTCAGATTGTATTCTACGAGATGATTTAGCCAAAAGCCTGCAATCAAGTAACAGGGAATTATATGGGAGGCGATTAGAAATCGCCTCAAAAATGGGCTACGCCACCTACACTAATGGAAACCGTCAAGCTACCCGTTAGTATAGCCAGTCGCTAGCACTACAGCAGAGCAAGCTATGCATGGATGTCAAACGTTAAACATCAGTACAACAACTGAGCCTCATTTCCTTAAATCCGAAAGGAACTGCGAAACGGTGCCGCCGGAGAGGACGAGTACGTAGAGGCTCCTAAAAACTCAGGGTCATTCTAGGCCGCCTAAATCGTAAAGAGCTAAGGTGACAATCTGTGCTTGCAATGCACGCACACTTACGCATAAGTCATCGATAAAGTTGTTCGCGCCGGCACGAAGGAGAAGGTAAGATCATATCATAAGATTAGGTAAAAGTGTAGACACCGTCCATTAAACTCCTCCTATTACACGGAGAAGAAGTGTTCGTCGGAACACGCGACCACAGTGTTGGCGTCGGCGTTCTCGTCAACACAAATTTGTCCATGAAGATCGATTCATTCAAACAGCTTACAACCCGAATCGGGCGTTTACGGTTAAAAAGATATGAATCAATACCGGCTTTGACAATCTTCGTCGTTTATGTACCGACATCAAACTATGACGAAGCCTTCTATATAGACTTGAAAAAGTTCTACAGAGAAGACCACACATTCTTCAAGGTCACCATTGGAGACTTTAACGCCAAGATTGGACCAAGAAGAACGTCTGTAGAATGTCACATTGAAACCCACGGATTAGAATGGAATAAACAGGGTGAGCGGCTCTTTGAGTTTATCATGGCGACCAAGACCATACATGGTAACTTGCAATTCCAGGAGGCCCACCCTCAACGCTGGACGTGGGACTTTCCCAGTGGAGAGTACGGAAACGAAATAGATCACATTATAGTAAATCGAAGGTTTTGCCTAATTGATGTCGCCTTCAGACACTAGGAAAATAGTTCGGAAATCCCAGTGTAACCTCGCCAACCAAAATCCAAGATGATTGCACTCCGACGCCCAGATTGAATAGTTACAGATTCCAGAAAGACAACGAAGAAGATGATTCACAATTACTTCTCAGATGTCTACAATAACCACGTCCTCCACTCCTCATACAAGACGAAGGAGCACAGATATGTGGCACCACTGGTTCTCCCTACTTAAACCCGGCTTGCTGTTTTGTTGATTAGGAAGTGGAAAACACCTGGACCGCTCAGCAGAGGACATTGCGTCAGAAACAGGTGATTGCTGATGGCACTGATCAACAGAACTAGCTCAGAGACCGGCGAAACAAAGAATCCTGCATGGTCTGGTGGTGAACGCGTTAGACCACGAAAAAGGTGGTATCGCGCTCGTTCCCCACCGTAGATACCTGCGGTTAGGAGTTTTGCAAATATCTCTGCACCATTAAAGTAGTTTCACACGCAATACCTTGCTGTGAAAATTATAATAGACAGTAGATAAAAAGTTAGCATTGCAATTCGCATTGCATGTTCAACAGAGATTCTGCTTACCAAATTTCGTAAGACCACCTCGTTGTTCGAGACAAACGAAGACTATCACCGTTTACGCATGAGCTCCTCTAGTTTTTTCTGTTTGGTGTAAGGATGAACACAAGTGGCTCGTAATCGCCTTGTGACGTTGGTCTGAGTATCACCTGTATCACCTGTGGTACCGTTGGTTATCGAGTGAATCGAGCGGGCGCCAGTAAATCTTCCATTTTTCCCTGTCGCGTGCAAGAGTAGCTCAGTTGGTTATGGTCGCTCTAGGCACACTTCGAGTATCATATCTTACTTCAAGGCTCTTTGTGAAAAACTCTAACCATCGGGTCGGAGGTCTCCCTGCAGTGCATTTGACATCCCGAGGAATCCACTCACTCCATCTATGTCTATCTAGTTCTGGAAATCAATATGATGATCGACCTATATCCAGAGCTGAGCAGGAGAAAACGAGCGGCTTGGGAAACTTTCAAGAGCATCGAGGATGTAGTGAAGAGAACAAAGAACACCCTACTCCGTGTCCACCTTTTCGACTCATCGATACTTTTTGCCCTAAGGTATGCGTCAGAAACCTAGTCGCTGCGTAAGCAGGATGGAAGTCACTCAGCGTTATCGAACGCGCAGTCGAAAGGACAATGCGGGGAGCATCCCGTTTTGCACAAGTGAGGGAAGGGTTCCGAAGCTCCGACCTGCGTCAACGATCAAAAATCAAAGTTGCCATTCTGTACGCCAAACAGTCGAAGATTAAGTGGGTAGTACACGAAATGCCTATGAATGACAACCGATGGACGGGAGCCGTTAGTGACTGGATCCTTGGGGATGTCGAACGTACTGCAGAAGGCCACTTACCCGATGGGCAGAGTTCTTCACAAAGAGCCTAGAAGAAAGATATGTTGCTCGACGAATCCCTAGAGCGAGCAGAACCCACTTGGTTACTCTTGAACGCGACAGGGAAAAATGGAAGATTTACTGGCGTCCGCTCCAGTCACTCTACGACAACGAGACTGCTGGTGGTACAAGTGTATCCGATGAACTTCCTATTGTATGGTTTTCAGCTACAGTAGGACTAGAAAGATTCGTGCATTAGACGATGCTCAATTGATATCAGCAAAAATTTTTTTCTTCCAACCTAACATTTAACATTTGCGTGTACTTTAAAGCGATTACTTGTTTATTTTACCGTTCTTTAAATATTTAAAAATATAATTTAAAAAAATTTAAATATAATTTAAATGAAAATAATAATATCATTTAAACATCACGCGTATAGTCGCAATATCATTTAACTGCAGCACACCCTGTCTATTGCTAAACAGTGGACTATTTTCACATCCGCCATTTTTCGCAAGACATTAACATTTTCTTCGAATAAACAATAGATCAAACAGCATTACGTCATTATTTCTTAACATCTTGATTGAAACCCTGTGGAAACACTCTATGGCTCTCAACGAATAATTGAGTGTGTTGCACTTATTGAGATGTGGTGGTTACAGTCGGAAAATTTCTTGTAGATAATTGCCGAAGGGGCGAATGTCGTTAAAGGACCTCTTGAAATCCTAATATTGATTTTTAATGTTGTACTTTTATTTTTCCTTTTTTGTTTCTCCATTCGTCGTTCATCGCAGCACAGTAGTTCGATTCTCAGATGCGAATGTATCCGTCATCATCACGAAGTGAACTTGAAGTTAATAGCACAGCATCACAACTACCTACTTTGCTCACCATACCTTCAACTGCCTACTTATCACAGTCACATTCATCCATAGACTATCTACCGAACAGTTATTCACCACCACCACAAGATCCAGCATATCAAACAAACACCACCGCTACCACTACTACAGCCACATCAAAGCAGCTTTTTCCGCAGAACAAGCCGAAGAAACGCATTCAGGTACGATGGAATGTGTGTAACAATTTCGTCCTGTGTTTTATTCTTTTCTTTACATTTTTTATTGTTCTTTGTGTTTTCTCACCATACAAAATTGAGGCTGTACCGTGTCATTCGAATTCAATATGTGCTAATTGCAAAACAACTGAAACAACATTGTGGAGAAGAGCAAAAACTGGAGAAATCGAATGCAAGTGAGTAGAAAAAAGCGCAGAGATTAAAATTGTTTCCAGAACTTCGATTGCCATACTGAAAATGTTTCCTAGTAAAACAGAAATGATGAAGGACTTCATCGATTCAGGTATATCTGAGCTAGCAATAAGTGAACATGTCAAGTTATGCGACTACGTTGTGCTCCTCTTCTTGCGTTTCCATTATGAAAGAAAAAAAGCGGTGATGTGAAAACCACGACGTTATCAGACGACCGTGACACACATTTTACTGAACTCGGTTTTGCAGTAATCCCCATCGCTAATCGATACCATTCATTCCTAAAGCATAGCAACTAGAAACGATTTTAATTTGAGTCTATTGAAATGCCTCAGCTTTTTTCTCGATTGTTGATTTAGCTCCATCGAACACTACCTTTTAATCACGAATTGTTCCTGGAGTCCTGATTTAGCCAGGCTGGAGCGTTCCCAGGTGAATTGTAGAAAGTGATTTTTCCATGGAAAAGTCCGGTACCAATGTCCCTACTCTGGAGAGATGAAAGGCTTGGTTGGCCTGGAGCAGAATCAAACCAGCACCAATGCTCGTGATGACAGACGTCACTGCCACTGTGTTTTCCGCCTCTGAAACTACCTATTACGATTTATATTTCCTACTTGTGTCGAATAAGGTGTGTTGATCCTGGTACGAAAACTATTGCGGTGTTGTCATATTTGCAGCGAAGTCTCGTCTGAAAACATTCCAAATGGATGCGACAATGGAATATGACCATTCTCACATTACCTATCATTGTAATAGCATTAGGATTTTAGTACAGTTACGAATCTAATTTGCTTAAAATTTATGATCCTTCTTTAACGCAGCAAAACAACAACAGCTTAAAGGTCAGTCATGAGTTTTTATGCCTTTGACTTGTTCGTTGAGTTTCTGTATTGCAGCGCATGTAACTTGTATTTTCGCAAGAACAATACGAAGAGACCGATGTCGTTGTGCAAGGACACAATTATGAAGAGGAATCGGAAGCCACGTGCCGACACATTATCCACCGCGGCGAAACATTCGGTATCCGGAAGATGATAAACAGCGCACTCGATCTCATCACCTTCATCTAATGAATTCCATCACTCTTGAATTTGCGTTAGTTTGCGCCCATTCGTGGCATTATGAACTCACTCAAAATTCATTTTGATTTCATTCTAATTCCATTTCTACGGAATAAGAATGAATCAAGTTCTGTACGTCGGAAATTGTATGACCTTTCTTCATGAATTGTGCGAAAGCCAGAAAAGCTTTTATTTAACTGGTATTTCGATAATTGAGAGAGTTTTTTTCACAAAGCCCGTGGTAGGTGTGTGAGAGCGCCTCCAGTTGTTCATCGCTGTTCTTTGT